TACATGTGTGTAACTGTTGCAATGAAACCCCTCAGAAACTAATTTATGCTTTAAAAGGAGATAAATATCATGTTTTTTTTTTTAAATCACCAGACCCAACCTTGTAAAGATGCCAGTCCTCAAATTACTCCTAAATTTAATGCAATCTCAAATAATATCTCTGTAATTATTTCCATGAAAAATCCAGTTCAATTAACTTCTTGATCAAGAAATTATTCAAATTCGTATTGGTTCTTACCTCTTGAATTATTAGGTGCATCTGAAGCTTAGGTGTGTGTGTGTGTGTGCGTGCATGCACACACATGCCAGTACTGGGGCTTGAACTCAAGGTCTAGGCACTGTCTCTTAGCTTTTTTCACTCAAGGCTGGTATTCTACCACTTGTAGCTCCACTTCCAGCTTTTTGGTGGATAATTAAAGATAAGAGTTTCATGGACTTTTCTGCCTGGGCTGGCTTGGAACCTCGATCCTCAGATCTCAGCTTCCTGAGTAGCCAATTACAGGCGTAAGCCACTGGCACCCAGCTTTCGATGCTTAGTTTTAACTGGGATCCCATTCTTCACTTCAGACCTGTGATAGGAGTGAAAATCTTCCCAGGCAGACAAAGAGCAGTAAAGGTTCCTGGTAAATCATTGCGATCCATACTTGGCTTGCAAAGTGACTTAAATTAATAGCAGTTTTCATTTCTAGCACAATGGTATTTTGGGAAAAAAATAAATGTTTTCACATTCCACTATCTCCAAAATGCATACACATTATATGGAGGACATGCAAAACACAACTTTCAAAAAACCATTATATCAACCGCAGCAACATGTTGAAATCTCATTTCATGACAAGCCCTTATTTCTCTTATTATTATTTCTAAAGCTTCAATATCAAGTCTCAAACTCCTTCTGATTGGTACAACCATTATGAATAAATAATTAACAGAACAGGGCATCCTAGGAATCCTAGCTACTTAGGAGGCTGATATTTAGAAGACAGCAATTACAAGTCAGTCTAGGCTCAAAGATCTACAAGATTCTATCTCCAAAATTACCAGCAAAAAGCTGGGCTGGAAGTATGGCTCAAGTGTTAAAGCACCAGCTGAGCAAGTAAATTGATCAAGTTCAAGGCCTTGAGTTCAAATCCTAGATCCCTTGCAATAAAAATATAAATAAATAAATAAAGACAGAAGAGAGGGGGGAGAACTTAATTCTAAACTTTTTGTCACCTTTGGCTTGAGGGGTTTTGTTTTTTTTGTTCTGGTCCTGGGGCTTAAACCCAGGGCCTGGGCTTTTGTGCATAATGATAGTGCTCTATCACTTGAGACAGAGCTCCACTTCTGGCTTTCTGATGAGAGTCTCATGACCTCCTGAGTAACTAGGATTACAGTCATGAGCCACTAGCACCTGGCTCCTTAGGGCATTTCTCACCTTATCATAGATCTCTCTTACATTCAAAGGAAGGACAAGAGAAAAAGACTAACATCAAATGAAAATAGTGTTTGGTTTGCTATTAAAAAGTATGTTAAGGCGCTAGGAAGGTGGCTTAGCAGTACAGTACTTGCCTTGCATGCATGAGGCCCTGGGTTCGATTCCTCAGCACCACATAAACAGAAAAGGCTGAAACTGGCACTGTGACTCAAGTGGTAGAGTGCTAGCCTTGGGTGGAAGAGATGAAGGGCAGTGCCCAGGCCTAAAGTTCAAGCCCCATGACCAACAACAACAAAAAATATATGTCAAGCCCAACTTCGCTTGACAGAATCTCAAGAGCCTGAGATCTGAGGATCACAATTCAAAGCCAATCAGCGCAGGAAAGTCCATGATACTTATCTTCAATTCACCACCAGAAAACTAGAAGTGGAGCTGTGGTTCAAAGTGATACAGCACTAGCCTTGAGTGTCAGCGACAGCATACAGCATACAGGCTGAGTTCAAGCTTCATCATACATACATACATACACACACAAACACATACACAAAGTCAAACCAGATACCACTGCCTGATGCTTGTAATCCTAGCTTTATCAGAAGTTGAAACCAGGAGAATAGCAGCTTGTGACTAGTTTAGTCATACACAAAAGACCACTTCTCCACTAGTAGCTAGGTACCATAGCAGTGCCTATCATCTCAGCTACATGGGAAGCTAATTTTTAGGAGGATTACAGCTGCAAACCAACCTAGGCAGAAAAGGAAAAACAAGGAAAAACAATCTCAAGGAAAAACAAACAAAAAACTAGACTATGAGGTGTGTGACTGTTATCCCAGCTATTCCAGGAGTCTTAAACAGCCTGACTGCAATCCAGAAGTACCCTTCTGTAGGAAGGAAGACCCTATCTTAAAACAGTCCCAAGGTGGCTAGGCCGAGGCCATGAATAGACAGTAAAGTGCCTGACTAGCAAGCATGAGGTCCTGGGTTCAAACCCTACTACCGTCTTCTATCCCCCCTCCCAAAAAAAGGTCACCAATAGATGTGCATGATGACAGATACCTGTAATGCCAGGAGTCAGGAGATTTAGGCTGGAGGACTCTGAGCTTGAGGTGTGCCTGGGCTACATGAGAAGACCATTCTTCCCCATCTATCCCCCCAAAAAAGGAAAAAGAGAGATGCCAGAACATGAATTTTAACTCTGTGGGTAACCTTCCAACAAGTTGCTCAAAAAGAACCCAAGCACACAGTCCCTAAAGCACATGTGACGATAACTTGTAACCAAGCATACAGGCTGTCTTGTGAACAAGGGGATCAAGATTAGAAGCAGCATGGACCTCATCCTCCAGCATGTCAGAACACAAAACAACTATTCACCCAGCCCTGGTTCAGCAGGCATCATATTAAGTGCCAAATGGGTGAGGAAAAAGTGCCACTGCTACTGCAGGTTCTGGGTTGACTCCCATGAACTTTCCTTGTTCACTTTTTTTTTCGCGGGGGGCCCGCTGGGAGGGGAAGGTACCGGTACTGGGCTGAAACTCAGGCCTGTTTTCTTGCTTGGCATTTTTCATGTAAGACTAGTGCTCTACCATTTGAGATATGCCTCTACTTCCAGCTTTTGGAATAAGTTACTGGAAATAAATACATGGACTTTCCTGCCTGGGCTGGCTTTGAACTTCTGAGTCCTCAGATCTGAGCCTCTTTAGTAGCTAGACTACAAGAATAAACTGCCAGCACCTGGGTCAATTACTTTCCATATAACATTTTTTAGAAGATTCCCAGGGAAATTGTAATTGTTCTCTCATTACTGTTACCTAGTGTTTTTTTGTGTGTGTTGTCTATGGGTGTGTGTTTTGTTTTTATGAGGGGGTGAGCTGGAGATTAAACTCTGGACCCTGTGCATGCTAGGCTAGTGTAATAACACTAGGCTGCAGCACTGTTCCTGTATGGCTTTTTTGTTTATGCCTTTAGCAGAAATAGCTACTGGTGTGCTACATACATAGACATCCTCCTGTACCTTCTTACAATAGCACCCAAACCTGAAATAATTCTACTTCCAGAGGTAAGGAAACTTAAGTTTGAAGACTATATGATACTTAATCTCAGTAGTGATATCATTGAATACAGTCTAATACAAATACAGTTACTAACTGTAACTTGAAATTTGGCTAAGACAGAGAAAATAGAATATCTGAGACTTCTAATATTTTTAGCCAGTCAGGGCATCCCACTGTAATTCTAGCACTCAGGTGTCCATACAGGAGGATCACAAAGTCATAATTAGTCTAAACACACACACACACACCTAGCATATCCATGTCCTTCTCAAATAAAATTTAACTATGCTGTAATATATTTTATTAATTTACTGTTTAATTGCTTGTTTATTTTGGTGGCAGTATTAGGGCTTTAATTCAGTGCCTGGGCACTATCCCTTAGCTGTTTCACATGAAGCTCTTCCAAAAATCTCTTCTGAGATTTTTGCCTCCTCAGGTTAGATTGATTGAAACTGTGATCCTCAGATCTCAGCCTCCTGATAGCTAGGATTACAGGTATGAGCCATAAGCAGTACCTGGCTTAAATGTTCATTATTAAACAATGTTGCAACCAAAAACAAATCTAAGCTAGAAAGATAAGCATTAAGAGCAACAATTATGCTCACCACAAAAGAATATGGTATTTGAGAGAGATTCTTTTAAAATAATAACAAAAACATTCTCTAGGGCTTTGGGATATATTTTTTAAACTGGAAATGCCAAATAAATAGCTGTTCAATGATGTTAAGGAAAGGCCAGTAAGAACTGCAACATTAAAATGAATCACCGGTAACTCAAGGAAAAGAGATGTGGCTTATGAGAACATGACATATACACTATTTAAAAGGGTGTAAATCCACACTATACACAGATCCAGGCAGATCACAGAAGATCCCTATTCCCACTGCACAAGGCCCATACACATGGGGAATGAAAAGAAACAAGTCTAGCAGGTTTTTGTTGTTTTTAAAATTCCTTTTAAGAATTCCCAGAGGCCATGTGTGGTGGCATGTAATAACTACAGTAACTTGGGAGCAGAACATCAGGAGGATCAAGGTTCAAGGCTAGCCCACGAAGAAAGTTATGGAGATCCCATCTTAACAAATAAGCTGAGTGTCACAGATCATGTCTGCAATTCTAGACATGGGAGGGCTAGGTAAGAGGGTGCAGGACATAAAATAATTAAGGCAAAAAAAGGGTTAATGTATGGGGCTCATGTGGTACAGTTTTTGCCTGGCAAGTGTAATGCTCTGAATTCAAACCCTCATATTCAAAAAAAAAAAACAAACACAAATCTGAATACACAGAGAATGGTTGTTGGAGAAGAAAAAGGTGAAGGAGATAAAGGATTTTAAGATTTTAGGAAGTTTGTTCTCTAGCAAAATTTTTATTCCACGACACCAGATGGTTTAGGATTACTTGAGAACTCTCTTCAGCATAATTCCTCAGCTGTAAAAATCCAGATCTTTCTCCATTGCTCAAACATAAACGCACAATTTCTCCTTTTGGGGAGAGGGTTATGCTGAAAATTAGTGTTGCATAAATACCGTTACCTTTTCTGGTGAAAAACTCCTTGGAATATTGCCCCAACATAGCGTATTTTCGAGGGACTTTCCCCAGCAGTTCAATGATCAATGCTATGTGATCTGCATTGGGAAACATTGCCAGCAAAACAGAAACACACGACAGTTTAATCAGTACACTGCATGCAGACACTACCACCGCCCGCGCAGACAGAAACTGAGCGCGATTGGAATGATCAATAGCACAGGCTTTCCTCATGTGGCTGGACTTCAAGACCCAAAGCTGGAGGGTAACCATGTGTGCTGGGCACCAAGGGGGAGCCAAAGCACAAGGTGATCACAGCGCAGGTCAAACTTGGTCTTCCATCAGTATTTAAATCAGAACTGGAACTCTGTTGTGCTGCTTTTGGAATTTAGAAGAAATGCCTTTGTCACCATTAATGCTGCCATCAGCAGCTGCTGTTCCGTTTCTGTCTGCATCGTGGCGCTTTTCAAAAAGAAAAGGTACTACCTCTGCGATTGAAGAATTCCCGAGAATATTTTCCAGATAGAGCAAAGTGCCTTGGGATACTGCCTAGCAGCTCTATGATGTGGGCTATGTGATCTAGGAAGGAAAGATAAAAAGATACAGGAATGGGAAGGGCAAGGGAAAGACGGGATAAAAGAGGGAAAAAGTGAAATTAGTAAAAAAAAATCAGAAACAGATTCAAATCAACAGTGTTTGCAGCACATCCATGCAGAGGTTCTTGAGACTGGCACACCTTAGGTACCATTTAGAGAACCATCAGTGACTGATGCCAGTTCACCCCAGGCCACCCAAGTATCACAAGCAAGTAAACATGGAGATGGTCAGATTACAGAAGGAATTTAAGCCAGAATTCCCTGCGTTTTGTTTTGTTTTTTGTTTTTGTTGGCCCTGTAGCTTGAACCCTGTGGCTTGGCCTGGGTACTGTCCCTCAGCTCCTCAGCTCAAGGCTAGCACTCTACCACTTGAGCCACAGCCCTACTTCTGTTTTTCTGGTGGTTAACTAGACATAAGGGTCTCACAGACATTCTTGCCTGGGGTGGCTTTGAACCATGATCGTCAGATCTCAGCCTCCTGAGAAGCTAGGATTACAGGTATAACTACTTACTGGTGCCTGGCCAGAATTCCCTGATTTTTAACTCAGCTCTCAAACAGAACAAAGTGAGCAGCAGAGCCATGGATAAAAGGACAATGGAAAGGCCTTGGATTTGTTCAGTCTGTCCTGAAGGGCAGGAGAAGTAGCCTGAACTCCCAAGGGCTTTCTGAGGGCTGCCTATGTCTGGTACACACTGCCCATTCACTGAAACTGAAGGGCTTCAAACTGTGAGGATATCATCTGAATTGGTGTTGGAAAACCAAAACATGGCTCTGTTTCAGTATATAACATATATACTGAATATATAATTCTCTAGAACTTCAGGAGGAATAGACTTTGACTGAAGTATTCAGTAGGCAGCAACACTCACCTTCATCTCTGGAATAGTCTTCCCCAGAATGTGGTTCAAACAAATAATCTCCTGTTGCCAGCTCAAATGCCTAGGATACAATGGACAACATGCTGAATACTTCAGAAATAGTCCCCAAGCCAATAGATATTCTCCTTAGACCTACATTTCATGAGGCTCTTAATCAAAGCAAAAAAAAAAAACCCTAAAACAGCTCAGTTCCCTATTTTTTTTCTTTCATCAACTTGAAAGAAGCTGCAGGAATATTTTTACATCTCTTTTAGTGGAAGATGTAAGGGCTATGTGTTCTTTTGCAAGAAGCAGAATAAAGCCACCCACTGACTCAGAAGCACCATGTGCAGGCCAGGGGCTCAATGTTAACACATTCTGTAAGTGGTAGAATAAGGGTTCAACCCAGGATTTAACCAGGACTATCTGAGTTCAGGACCTGCCTTCATCATCCAGCTTACTTGACCCCTGCAACAGCAATATTGCTGCTTTCTTTAAGCAAAGGCTTTGGCTATTAGTGATCAAGGACTATTTTTAGCATCATATCATCTACTTCATCCTCATCTTCATTTCTGACTCTAGCAAAAGAAAATTTAGACCCAAACAGACACTGTTCCTCTGGCTCTAGGGTCAGATGAAGCAAACCATCCTGCAGCACCTCTTGAAGATATCAAGGACAACTGCACCCAAGTTCCACTTGCCAACCCTTAGCACACCAGTAAGTAGAGAAGACCATGTTCATTCTTTATTATATCATCATCATCACCATCATCATCAGTAGTTGTACAAAGGAACTGTTTATTGTATTGTACAAAGCTATTTATGAATATACTGCATCTTGATTGATGTCACCTTTTCACATTTTCCCTCATTCTCCCAATCTTTTCATATCCCTGCTCTGAGAAAAAGCTCAAAATACTGAGTTGCATTCTGCAGCAATGTGCAAAAGATAGCAATTGCTATTGCTCTGCTAATCAAATACAAGGATTTTTTTTAATGTTTAAACAAAGAATATGTTAAATCCCATTTCTAATTTATCTTATACTTATTGCTACTCTGGTTGCTCTCCTCCCTTCAGTGATGTTAGTGGATAGATGACAGGCCAAATGCCCTACTTTCTCAAAGGACTGCCCTCCGCACTTTTATGAGGAGCCATCCCTGAAGGGTATACATGTATGCACTCAATTCTCTTCCTTCCTTTCAATGACGTGAGTGCTGGGTTGGGAAGGCCCCTTAAGAGAGGACTTGTATTTGACAGACCAGGACTGGTACAATTAGATCAGCACCACATCTTTTCTCTCATATGCTTTTTTATTTTTTTAAGAGAAGATGTCATGAATCCTATCTTGCTGAAGGAGATAATCAGGGTGCCAAGGCTGCTGCTAGTTGCCACTGAGATTAGCACTAGGTCATAAACATGGGATCCTGCCCTGAACTACCCTTGGATAAAACAGGATATGGCCTTGCCAGTATCAGCAGGGAGAGTACTACCCTTCCCAGGGCTGTAGACACCGGATGGCACCCCCAGAGTGCCTGGGAAGTCTCCTCATGAGGCCTCTCCTCACTGGGTAAACAATCATAACAGCTAGGCCAATCTTCAATGGGGGAAAGAAAACTTTCCATTTGTCCCCAAATCCAAATGGTATACTTCCATTACATAAGTCAGAAAAGTCTTTCTACCTGGCATAACTGTTAAGCCAGGAGGAAAACGTGGAACGAAGGGATGAGAAGCCCATGAATGGCAGTTCCAGGACGGTACTCACTGTGCTTTATTTAGACCCTCCTCCTTTCTCCTGGGCTCACTCTTTTAATTTAGTCTCAACAACACTCTAGTCAGGTTGTATCTACTTCTACTGTCTAATGTTGAAATATGTCAGCTAAGTGTTCTATAAAAGACTATCATTTTGATTAGTGTGTATGTATTTCCAATGAAATACTTAAAGAAATGTCAATAAGGTGATTTTTTTAAAGAGCAAGTGGGGGAATGGCAGCTCTCTTATAATATCTAAAGTTGTCTAAAGGGATTAGATTTTCTTAACGAACATGACATACAAATGGGAAAAAACAACATTACAATGAAAACATAGGTTTCTGTGTACCACAAAATGTTTTTATGCTGGCAGCTATGGGAGAACTTGAAACACTGCCTTCGACTCAGCAAGCTACTCCCAGTATAACCTTTATTACTTAACACTTGGGAATTTAGGGTTCTTCCTTTTGTTCTTGGTCCAGTCACTTCAGCGAGTATTCCCCTAAACTTACCTCTGTTCTTGGGTTCTGGAGAAATCAGGTACCTCTTTCCTGAATGTGTTCCCATGTCAAAATACCTGGTTCTAAATAAATATTTGTTCCATGATGTGCCAGTGCTAACTCTGAATTTTGTCAGAGTTGCCCTCTTCAATTCAGTAGACCAAGATTCACCATCTAGTCTATAAAAAGTCAGCTATTAAGGAACTAGGACACTAGAATACAGAGCAGCAATGCCTTTGCCCACACGGAATTTTTATGTCATACATATGGAAGGGACCCCAAAGCTCAAGAAAACAAGTGATATAACCAGGCTACTATGCCTCATTTTATTGTGTTTCTCCAGCTACAGAACACTACATTTTCCTCCCTGACAGCAGTCAGGCCTCCACTACCATCCATTAGACCTTGTTTTCAGTGGAACCTCTGTTAGATATGATGTCATTTAGAAAACTGTAGGATTATGAGCTTTACTAGCAAGATTAATGTATGGCCTTATTAAACTTAATATCAGCTAGGCACCAGTAACTCACACCTGTAATCCTAGCTACTCAGGAGGCTGAGATCTGAGGATTGCAATTCAATGCTAACCAGGGCAGCAAAGTCCAAGAGACTCTTATCTCCAATTAACCACCAGAAAACCGGAAGTGGCACTGTGGCACTGTGGTAGAACGCTAACTAGCCTTAGCCTGAATGCTGTCCCTGAGCTCAAGCCCCATGACCAACCAAAAAAAAAAAAAAAAAAAAAAAAACCATAAAAAAACACCCTTAAAATCATGGGGTATAACAAAATATTGGGATACTTCTAAACTTCATCAGTGAGTGAACACTGCCTCCTCGCTGTCATATTCTCAAGGGGGAAAAAGGGACCTCTTAGCCCTGACCTTCAGGACAGAAAATGAAGGTGAACCCCCTTTAAAAACTACCCTCTAGCAGGGCGCTGGTGGCTCATGCCTGTAATCCTAGCTAATCAGGAAGCTGAGATCTGAGGATCGCGGTTCAAAGCCAGCCCGGGCAGGAGAGACCGTGAGACTCCTATCTCCAATAAACCACCAGAAAACCGGAAGTAGCTCTGTAGCTCAAGTGGTAGAGCGCTCGCCTTGAGCTGAAGAGCTGAGGGACAGCGCCTAGGCCGAGAGTTCACGACCCACAAAAAAAAAAAAAAAAAGAAAGAAAAAAAAACTACCCTCTAGTACAGATGATACTATGCAAAAGGAAGGTACTATACTTATTATCTGATGTATGTAAAGATAATCCCACTGTATATCACCTCTAAAACAACAATAAAGCAATTTTTAAAAAAACTACCCTCTAACAGCCTCTGACATATTGCCCTGGGAGGGGCCTGGGACAATCCCAGGAAGTGGGTACATGAAAGGAGCAAGCCTGCTTTTCCTTGGGGTCCTGTGACATATTTTCTTATAAATATATTTCATTTCAACAGCAACTTAAGAGGATAGAAATAGACAAGGTATGCAGGGACAAACCCTAGTCTAGTAAGAGGCAAAACAGGCAACGTGACAAAGGATTATACTGACAGCTCCACCATCACCCATACGTGTGATTCTGTCCTATTTTTCTGGTTATATCAGCAAACTTAATATCCAAAATTAGAAGCAGAGAACTTCAGAGTTGAAAGAATTCTTTAAGCCTAATTCAGGGCAGCACTACCATATGGCTCTTCTGTGCAGTAGGATAAAGGCAGCTTGGCCTCACCACCTCCTGAAATGGGCCTTGCTCCCCCCTAAAGACAAACTATTCAAGTGTTTCCTCCCCACTGACTTGGCCACTGGTGACAGCTGCATCCAGCTTTCCTCTGCCCTCATAATGGAAAGCAAATGCCTCTGCACACAGCAGTCTCTGAATTCAAAGTACCATGTCTGCCACTTCTTTCAACTATTTTCTTGTCCATACTTTCCTAGAACCGGAATACGGTTTTGGATAATACCTGAAAAATTAAAGATTTTAATAACTCTAAACTTATGAATAGGTATTATCCATCAGATGAATAAGGAAATACAAAGGCACTGTGCTTCAAATTTCTTTGGCCATATTTGTCACCTCAGTCATGTTAACTTTAAAGATGTAAATCATCTACACTTTTCTCATATCATAAGGCATTATCTGCTTAACACAATGCTTTCACTTTACTATTAGAGAATAAAAATTGCAGTAAGTTTAAAAGATTAAGTAAGTCTTCAGATAATAAGAGCACCTTGTTTATTCTGCATTGCTTTTTTAAGGAGAAGACAAGCATTACACCTTACATGGGAGTCCTTTCATTTAGATAACTGAAAATATAGATAAAAATAATATGAGAGTTGATTTCTTTGTAGCTTTGTATGTCCCTCCCCCACAGTATAACCCCCACTTTCACTGTATTTGATGTTGGTATAATTTATGGAGGGGAAGGGAAAAAACAAATTGTTTAAATAAACAGGGATACAGGTGGACCCATTTGCAACAATGAGATGTACAAGTCATTATGCCAAAAAACAAACTTTACAACTTTGGTGGGGATGAGGGGTGAGAAGGGGAAATAAAGGAGGAGGCAACAATGCTTGATAAGAAATGTACTCATTATCTTGCCCATGTAATTGTAACCCCTCTATATGGTATTTTCACAATAAAAAAATAATAATAATGAGAGCCAAGTGGGGTAGCTAAGTTGGTAGAGTGCTTGCCTACCATGTACAATGTCCGAGGGTCAATCTCTGACACTGGGGAAAAAATATATCAAATACAATAAGACTATACTAAGTCACATGTATACACACCACATTTCCTAACAAAGTAGTGATAAAGGCCATTGAGAGAAAGGTGCTCATTGGCCAGGAAACAGGGCAAGAGACAAATGGAAATCATCTCATAGGTGAGGGACTATTTGTGCTTGTCAGTCCATAGGTTTAGAACAAATGACAAAAGATGAACTGCTGGGACTGGTTTTTTTGTTTTTGTCAGTCATGGGCTTGAACTTAGGGCCTTGGTGTTGTCACTGAGCTCTTTTGCTCAAGGCTAGCATTCTACCACTTTGAGCAACAGTACCACTTCTAGTTTTTGAGTGGTTAACTGGAATAAAAGTCTGTCACAGAGACTTTTCTGCCTGGGGTGACTTCGAATCATGATCCTCAGCTCTCAGCCTCCTAAGTAGCTAGGGTTACAAGCGTCAGCCACCAGTGCTCAGCTGGGACTGGGTTTGGTGTAGACATACCTAAACTCATGGGATCTAGGTGAAAGGCTGCCTCTTACTTCCAAGAAAAGCATCTCAGTTCTCTAGGGAACAGACTTGATCTAAAGGAGTGTATGCCACCACTGTTGTCTCAGAAATGACTACATATATCACATTAAGCCAGAAGACTCTCTAGATTTTTCTTTAGAAAGAAAATGTGATTGCACATTGACATGTAAAAACTCCCTTTTTCACCAACAAGGAATAAGGAAGTCAGAAACTCAGGTTAACCTCGCAGACACTACCTGGGGCAAGGACTCTAACCTTCCAGACTCAGACAATCTTCTTGAAGACTGTTCTTTTTCCATGACTTAAGTCACAGAAAAGTCTGTGTGGAGAAGCCTGCACAAGCAGTGTTTCCAGGGATCAAAAACAATTCCTTATAGTCACTGGGTCACCACAAATGAGTCCGATTCTTGGGGTAATGGGCTGTGCAAGACCTGAAGAAGAGGCCATCTTTCACAAGCCCAAACTCTTGGGCACAGCTAAGCAGAATTCTTACAGTTTTCAAGACAGCCATGGTTGTAATCTTCCCCTCTCTTATCTCACCCTTGAATTTAGAAAAACTAAGCCCAAGTGCTACAGGAAATGCTACCCCACCAAGCACATTAAAGGGAAAAGCCAATTCCCAGAAGAAAATGGCAAAAGCTATTCTTACCATGCAGGCTGTACTCCAAATGTCTGCAGGCGTACTGTAGCCTGCTCCTATCAAAACCTCTATGGATCTATACTGACGCGTCTGGATATCTTCTGTGAAGTGTTTATGCTGGAAAGGAACAGATATATTACCATGGAGGAACACAGACATTAAAAAAGAATCATGACCAAAGAATAGAAAAAACTACTTACCACCCAACAAGCATTTCCCAGGTCAGCAATTTTTACTCTAATTTTATCTGCATTGCGTGGATCCAGAGGGTTCACCAACAAGTCGGCTGCCCGGGTTTTTGCTGGCATGGGCAAATAGAAGAGCAGTTAGTGACTGGGACAAGTGGTTTAGGTGTATGAGCATAATGTTTGTCTGTCTGTCTCTCTCTCTCTCTCTCTCTCTTTTTAAAAAATCCTAGAATCCTGTTTTTAATCCTAATTAAATCTCTGTCCTTACCTCTGAAAAATATTCCACAAAAAGAGAATAATGTGGGCTGCCAGAGGACTTCATGAACATTATCTCATCCTTTCTCCTCACTATCTCTGGTTGCTTTATCTCAGGGCAATCAGCACTGCTGTTTTCCCAGTCTATGTCTTTGTGGCTGCTCCATCTGATCACAGTGCCCTTCTCTCATGGATCATACTGAGCTTACCAATGGATTTTTAAAGGAACACAAGGACAAACAAGAATACTGTTGCAGGTGACCAAATGTTTCACAGTAGCATGTAGTTCACCTGACCCAGCAAAACTGTCAGGCCACAGGTATCTGCATCTCAACACACAAGCAACCTCTATAGCTACAACACATACATGTGTCAAGAGTTTAGATGAGAGTTGATTCATAAACCAAGATTAAAGGCAGAGTTTTGTGCAGGCAAGACTCCAGGATCAGCAGTCTCCTGAGTTGGCCTGTGCCAAAAAGACAACCTCTGCGGTTACTTACGAATTTGTTACCTACTGAGGTCACAGTCAGTTCCAAGATAACCTGAGGGATCTGGATAGCAGGCATAAAATCAGGTTTCCTGGGTTTTCTAGGTCCAGGGGAGCTTCTCAGCTAAGGCACAACTGTGCTGTATGTTAAGTACTGTTAACCAGGAGCAGATGGCAAAGAAAAATAACTTGGTAAGACCCAAGAAAAAGAATCCTGAAATGAGTCGGCTGGCCAACAAACTCAAGATTTCTGGTAAGGATGAAATGTAATTGGATTTTATTTTAGAAGTCACTTTGAAATGGTATTAATACAAAGCATTAAACTCGTATCTCAGATAACATGTTTGCTCACCTAAAGCTGAGCACTGATAGTATAAGCTAAACCGCTCTTAGAGTACACTGAGCTATGGAACGATGGTGCTCAAGCAATTTCAATTCCTCAGCAAACTCCACACAGGCCGAAAAACTAGCCTTGCTAACAACAGAGCAGACAGTAGCAAAGTCCTCAGAGACTACAGCACCTATTATACTCCTAAGTCTCCAGAGGAGACTTTTAGCCAATATTTGAACTCATAAGGTCTGTTCCTTAACTTGTGGGTCAATATAGTAGACTATATAGACACAGAGGGTCTCTTCTCCACACCAATTCTATGCCCATATCCTTCTTCACAGGAGTGCTAATTCACAAGGGCCTCCACCAATGGCCAAGTAATAAAAGAAATAAAGGAACTCGGAAAATGAGAAAGAGTAGCAGAGGGACCCAAGAGAAAGCAGAATATGTAAAGGGTTGAAACAATGACCTAGCATAAACAGGACTATGCTAATGGACTAATCTAATGGATACAAGAAGGAGAACCAGCAAGAATCTGAAGAGGGAGGACCATTGTCTCCCAAAGAAACAACAACAACAAAAAACAAAACAGGAGAGTCAGGACAGCATTCAGCTCAGCTTCCCTCTAGAATCAGTGAAGGACCAGTGTGTGAGCAGTGAGGATAGCCAAGGGTGAGTTTCCCCTCTCCAAACAATGTAGGACAAGGAGCATACTACAACACATTCTGTAGTCCTCATTCACGGCAGGAAGGATTGATTTATTCTCTGAAAGATCAAGTAACTGAGTTGGCAGGTAATCTTAGAATGAAATGATTTGATCTCTTACTTCCTCTTAATTGGTGCTTTGGTTTGTTTTGTTGGTGCCAGTTCTGGGGCTCTAACTCGGGGCCTGGGCGTGTCCCTGAGCTTTTTTTGCTCATGGTTAGTGTTCTATCATTTGAGCTACAAGCTCTACTTTCAGCTTTTTTTGGTGCTTAATTGGAGATAAGACTCTCACAGATCTTCTTGCCCCGATTGGCTTCAAACCATGATCCTCAGATCTCAGCCTCCTGAGTACATTCAAGATTACAGATATTGCCACCTAACTAAAGATACCTCTTTGTATCTATATATCCAATTACACTGGAAGAAATCTACTTTTGGAGACACCAACACCACACATTTGAATACAGTTTATTTGTAATATCCCTCATTTATGCTCACTAAACAATATCTCTTTGATGCTATTATTCTCTGGTTCAAGTTTGCAAATTAATTATCCAGCTTACAATGTGCCCTAAATAATACTAAGTAATCTCTCTATAATTTAATTATTTAAGAACACAACAGGAGATGAAAAGGAGTGTATTTCTGATTTCCTTCTCAGTGTGATCAGTGTCTGTGCTAAGGACCTATCTGCAACCCGACACAAATCCTCATGGACACAGGCATGCTGACTCCTGCTGCACAATCATTCCCTTTCTGCTTTGCTAGGAATCACCTCATCTCTTCTGATAAAATCACCCCTTTGGTGACCTGTCATAGCTTTTTCTTCTGAGGACACTAGCACAACTGACCACCTGGTGGTGGTCCCTTCTAAAATAAAAAGTCTGCAACTGTTATCTGCTTCTACTGAGGAGAAGTTAGTAGGAAGATTCAGAGGGAAAAGATGAGTCACTTTTTGATAAACTGGACTCTAGCAAACCTGTGGTAATTCTTTCCATGTCAGTCTATTCTAGCAACTAGTAAGACAGTGCGTCAGCATTGCTCCAGCATGGTGGTACAACTGTCATCACATGTGTACAGAACATCAACTCCAAATTTTAAGAACACTCTTAAAGGAAAGTATGCACATCCTCTATCTGGGTATGCATCAGTAACCAGCCCAAGGAATGACAGAAGTAGCTTATTTAATGCCAACCTGAGCCTTACTAGGGATAGATACAATCATAATTAAGAGACTCACGTACTTGTTAAAAATATGGTCAGGCCAGGCGCAGGTGGCTCATGCCTGTAATCCTAGCTACTCAGGAGGCTGAGATCTGAGGATAACAGTTCAGAGCAGCCCAGGCAGGAAAGTCCATGAAACTCTTATCCCCAATAAACCACCAGAAAACCAGAAGTGGTACTGTAGCTCAAGTGGTAGAATGCTAACCTTGAGCTGAAGAGCTGAGGGACAGCACTCAAGCCCAGAGTTTAAGGCCTCTGACCGACAAAAAATAAAAAAAATTAAAAATAAATATATATATCGTCAGTTAACTTGAAGGAATGAGTAATTCATGTATCATATCAGGTATTATATGTAACCAACAAAAACAAAGCAAAGCACAAGAATGAATATCAAGGCAGGCACTGTTCAGGAGAGGTCTTTGCAGTGACGGTGACATTTAAGGGTGACAGGAGAGAAAAATTCTAGGCAAAGGAGAGAGGAAGTGCAAAGGTCTTGAGGCACAATCAGGCTCAAAATTCTAAGAAAATTTAGGAAGAAGACATCATGAATGGTATAGACCAAGCCTGGATGGTGCCCAAGCGCAGAGTTCAAGCCCCAGGATGAGCATGCATGTGCTTGGGTGCGCGCGCACGCACGCACACACACACGCACACGCATGCACACACACACACACACACATACACACACACGGTATCTATCAGTAGGCCAACTTGGACAAGTACTAAAGATATTGCTACTCCTCCTCCATGTAGACCTGCAGCCAAAATAAAATACATACCTCTCTGCTTCACTGAGAGTGTCTGTCATATGTGAGAAGCCAAGGCAAGTGCTATGGCTGTAATAGCTGACAACCTACAAGGAAGCTGTCTCTTCTTCTGTTGTTGCCACTCCCCGGTTTTGGTGCTAATCCTAGTGTCCCTGAACTTTTTTACCCAAAAGCTGTGCTCCACCATAGCTCCCTTTCTGGCTTTTTGGTGGTTAATTGGAGATAAGAATCTCACAAACTTTCTTGCCTGGGGTGGCTCTAAACCATGATCCTCAGATCTCAGCCTCCTGAGTAGCTAGGATTATAGGCATAAAACACCAACACACAGCTTCAGATTACTCTTGGAGGAAAAGGAAAAAAAAAACCTACATTCTTCAACCTGCCATTAAGTTCATTTTTCAGACATCTAAATCTGGCCCCAATCTTTCTTGTGCTATTCTCTAATGTGTTACATTTGACTCTTTCAGTAAGTTGGCCTGGGAGCCATCAGAAAAATAAAACCACCAACCTCCTTCATGGGATCAAGAGTAGGGGGAGAACTACCCATGGTTATCAAATAATAACTCTCAAACAAGTACCCCTGCCCTGCTGCAACCCTAAAATTCAATGATACTGAAAAGGACTGTGTGGCAAGAGACTGGGATCAATAGCGGGGGTGGGGATAATATTGTCATAACAGAAAACATCTAATTTATCTCTGAGAAGATAAATACTCAAGTAGTTTAGGAATAAAGTATCCTAGTATCTATAGCACACATAGCAAAATGTTCAGTTTGAGTCTAGGTGGAAGATATATACTTTATAGATATATACTTTATAGAGGTGTTCTAACAATCCTTTCCTGTGCCTTACTCATGGATGCAGACACCCATTGTGTAGACTGCTCAAGATGATGGAAACTGAAAAATCATGAGCAGAAGAATAAGTTACCTGATTAGTATTATTATTTTAAAAAGTTACCTGATTAGTATTATTATAAACACACACACACACACACACACACACACACACACACAAACAAAACAAACAGCCAACTAGGAGAGCAATTCGAAAGGCCGATAGAGATGGAAATTGTAGCTACAGAGAACACAAAGACCAGTTAGGAGTCTCTGCATTAGTGCAGGCAAGCAATGACCATACTCACTTAGGGCTAGGGCAAGGAGAACCCTATTTAGAAGCTATAACTGGATGCATTACATACTAGTTATTAGAGAAAGAAGAGAGAATATGGAAGATAATAAGGAAATCCACTGTTTTTGGCTAGCTGGCAGGGAAAGTTGTATTCAGTTTTCTATATGGTAAGTTTGAAGTTATTTTATGACTTCAGAGATAAAGTTCTCATTCCTCTGCCAAGATAGTAATGCCTTGTATCCTAGACTTGTTTACTCCTTCAGTCTCTGAACAATGTCTTGTCACACAGACTCTCAATAGGTACAGAATGGCTTTCTACATGGCTTCACTGGATAGCAGTTCCTATAGAGTTAGCTCTTGCTGGCTACAAGTACTATGTTAAATACATTACTTTATCTTCAGTAGCCTCAACAGGGCCTATTTAACACACTCCTGAGACTCAATAGTTACCAAGTAGAAGAATAGAGATTAGCTCATCTATGCTACAGGCTCAGGTCAGTTGGGGAAATACTGGAACATCAGCAGAATAGGCTAAGAACAAGATGTCACTAACACTTAAAAAGCCTAAAGACTAGGAAACTTCCCCAGAGAGCAGCAGAACAAAGGATTGCTGAGGTTGAGGTGAAGCATGGGACAGACAGTGGAGTGGAACCAAGGTGTGAATCATACCCTCTTCTAACTAACCTAAAACTGCTAGTGATGCTTACCCCCTTAAACAACTTGGGCAGGGCTAACAACACAGCCTTCTGCCAATCAAAATATGTAAACAGCTCAGGGATGGGGGGCATGGGTATCTCTTGTTTTGTTTTGTTTTCCCGAGAGAGTGTCTTGCAGTCCCAGGTCAACCAAGGCTGGCCTCAAACTCTTAACCTTCCTGCTTATAACTCCTGAGCATTGAGATTCTGAGTATTCTTTAAATCTAATCAACAGGTTCTGAGTTAAATAATCTGTATCCAGTGGGATTTTTACATTTCTAATGAAGGCACTCATTTACTACAATTTAATTTTTTTTCTACTTCTCTTTTGTCAGGGGAATTGCCCTCCTTCCCTTTTCAGGCCTAAACTATACTTACCTACCTATTCCACTCCCAGAAAGAGTAATGATGTAGTGAACAAGAGTGGGACCAAGCATTAGGGGAGGCCTGAGACCAGAATCTACAAGTCACTGGCAATTGACTGTGCTGAACCAGACTCCTTGCCTGGCCTCAGATACTGCCCACATGTGGTCCTGCCAGTGCTCATTAAGACCAAGGTACACACATGTGAAAATTGTTATATAGTTTTATTTATGCTTGCTATATATTATTGAATTATTTGATTGATTGTTGTTAATCCTAGAGATAGTCGCTGATTTCCTTTGATACAAGAACAAGCAGAAGCTTTGGGATGTTAAAAAGGCAAAATCTCATATAGCAATTAAACTTTGAGCTAGGATTTAATTTTATATTTGAAGCCAGGCCTCTAGATGCCACCTACAAAATAATGACTGCTGTATAAGTAGTTGCTAAATGAATGTGTAAGCACCATGAAAATTAAGCTGCAACAACAATAAATATGGAAAAGTCATGGCTATCCTTTCCAAGAAAGGAACCTTCATTCTATATGAAACTTTCCTTTCACTATGTGGCCAGAGAAAGAATGACTAAAAGTTAATCCTGTTTTGCCAAGCAAAGAAAATACATGCTAGGACAATAGTTATAGGTAGTAACAGGCAGCTGACTTTGCAAGGCCTACTGAAATGAAGGGGGCTGAAGAATTTTTTGGTCGATTTACAGGAAAGACATAATTTACCATGTCTTAAATGTGCTTGTCAGTACAAGAACAGAGGATGTTTCTGAGCTTTTTCGCTGTCTAACTGTGATGCTGTTTCCTCCTAGTAAGTCATTAGCAATTACCTTGGGCATCTGTTCCCAAAGTAAGAGTAAAGTCAGGGCCTCAGGTAGATAAAAACAAAAGATCCAAACTACAGCCTGCCATCATGTTTAAATCCATGCCACCTCTTTTCAAATTATAATCTTTAGACTATAATTTGTTCTCTAACATGGTTCCATAATCAGGGACAATTATCAAAAGCATGACAGTTAAAATCATGACCCTTCTTTCTCAATATGGCCAAAGAGCAGGCAGATGTTTTCTTGAATAGAAACAAAAAATAAAAGTCAGGCTCCAGGGGCTCATGTCTGTAATCCTAGTCAGGAGGTTGAGCTGTGAGGATCAAGGTTCGAAGTCAGTCAATGAATCTCTTTTCCCCAATTAAACACCAAAAAGCCAGAAACAGAGCTGTATGTGGTTTAAGTGATAGAATGTCAGCCTTGAGTGAAAAAGCTAAGAAACAACATCTAAGCCCTGAGTTCAAGTCCCAGTACCAGCACAAAGTAAAAAATCAAAACCAAACAACAACAAGCAATGAAATAAATTTCTATCATATAATAGGGGTTATAAAATACAAACGAAAAACTACAAGTTATAGAAGCTTACAAAGTTGCTAGAGCTGGAAGCTTTTTACAAATGTTTGATGTCACTGACAGAATGAGAAAAATTCAGAAAGCCTAGTGTACCCACACAACTTAAAGTGCATTACTTGCACTCAAAAATAAAATAAAAATGGTTCCTACGTAGACATGCATAGCTTTTCTACCTTCAGCCAATTTTTCCGTAGTATTGGTCAAAAGCCTGATCCTGTGCTGGTGAGAGCAGATGGTGGATGGGAAAGGGAACTTACTTTTTGGCAAATCCCCAGTACTGGAGGCTGAAACCGTCCTGCTCCTGTCATGGGATGGACTGCTTTCCTCTTGCTCAGTAAGTTGTGATCCCTCTGAAATTGTAGAGCTGCACGCCACAGGTTCTAATGGCCCAGAGAACAAGGATGTGGAAAACTCTTCAAACTGTGACTCTGGAATCTTATGTTGTCCATTTGGCAATTCGCCATTGAATTGTTCATAGGAACTGCTATATGTGTAATCACTTTCTGCATTTGGCTCATCAAGGTTATATTCCTCTGGATTTGGGCAGTCATCTTCATCATCCTCTTCATCTTCCAGTTGCTGTTCCAGTAAGAATGGGTCATTCTCAATATGGCCATTGGTTTTGGGGGACTCCATCCATGTAGGGTCTATGTTTGCAAGTTCCTGTTCAACATCATCTTCATCTTTCTCAACGTTTTCTTTCTCAGCATCTTCTTTCTCTTCCTGGTCCTCAACTTCACCTTGAAGAGTTGATGGATTAAGATAAGATAGTAGCACTCAAGAGAATAGAAGCACTGGGAATTTTTCTCCTTTAAGAATATACACTGGGGCTGGGAAGGTGGCTCAGTGGTAGACTGCTTGCTTTGCATGCATGAGGCCCTGGGTTCGATTCCTCAGCACCACATAAGCAAAAAGAAAAAAGCCGGAAGTGGTGCTATGGCTCAAGTGGTAGAGCGCTAGCCTTGAGGTGAAGAGCTGAGGGACAGCGCCCAAGCCCAAGAGTTCAGACCCCACGACCGGACCCAAAAAAAAAAAAAAACTGTGTGTGTGTGTGTGTGTGTGTGTTTGTGAATAACAGGGATTAAACATGGGGCACTGAACATGCTAGCCAAGATATACTTTTTAATGTGCTTTATATTTATACATATATATATATAAATAAAATATAGCACACAATTCACACTTATTGATATGGAGAAAAAATCTGTTTTCTAAATGTATTCATTTATTTAGTAATAAGCCTAATCTTCTCAAAACAAGACAGTGTTGGGGGAAAAAAGTTTATAAAGTTGGACTTCACTTTCATCCTGTTCTCCCATAATCTTCAGAAAAAGATTTGTAGTGCATTACAATTAGGCCAAAAAATAATTATGAAATAAAGGAAGGGCCATCATTATTATAGAGGTACACTATTTCTCAAACATTTTCCACTGTTTAAAAGCTAGTTTGAAATGCAGGGTACCAGGGTTCACACCTATAATACTACCTTCACAGGGAGCTGAGATCTGATGATCAAGGTTCAAAGCCAGTCTGGGCAGGAAAGTATGTGATCACTAGCCTTGAGTAAGAAAGCTAAGAGACAGTACCCAGGCTCTGAGTTCAAGCCCTAGTACTGGTATATGCATGCATGTGGGCAGGCATGCATGCACACATGTGCATGTGCGCACAACAGACACACACACACACACACACACACACACACACACACACACACAAATCAGTTTGAAATGTTAATACAAGTCACTGGCATGAAATATAGGCTGTTTCTCAAATTTCCCAAAAAGGAGTTAGAGAGAATTATCCTTAATTATCCGAAACAGCAGCACAAAGCCAATGAACATAGATAGTGGCTGGGCTGGTCCCTGTTCCCTGAAGCTCTTGGAACCCAATCAACTCCTCCTCCAGCTTCCACTAACCATTATCTTTCACAGTCTCCTCCTCAGCTGCCTCCTGTGTTTCTGCTTCTTTTAGTTTCACCTCTGGGTGGTAGTCATCATCTTGCTCGTTGGATGGTAAAGTGGAAGTGATATTTTCTTCTATTATTTTTCTCTCTGCTTCTCGCTCCAATTCCTCTATCTCCTGTAGGCGTTTTTCCAGTAACTCAGCCTGTCTCTTCTGTTTCTTTTTCAGTTTTTTCTTCTTGTTTTTAGATATTTTTCCTACCTATGAGATGTTAAGAAATTTCCAAAGTCAGATTGCTTCATTTTAAAGCACTATGTAACAGTGCAAATGCTGGAAGCATAGCCAATACCAGCAAACTGCTTTTTCATGCCATATTTAATTAAATTCATAAGGCCAAACAGAAGATCCTCCTAGGGTTATGGTAAAAGAGAAAGCACTTCTAGCTACTATCATGACCTTCTATTCAGAGGAATATAGCTTTTATCAGAAACTGAATATCTGGAAATACTTGTCCTTAAACAAGTAGCTTGTCTTGAAATTTTAACTTGCTGCTGCCTAAACAGAAAAAGTATTATTGTAACTTCCTTACTGACATAAAAGAAATGCTTGCCAAAACAGGTTGTCAACAGTAGCACTTCATTTGAGCTTAGCTCTCATACTGAGCTGCAATCAACAAATGAGATAAAAGAAATGAGAATATATGATATCAAAGGGCAAATAAAAGAAAAAGTCACTTTCTGTCCGCCTCCAACTTAAGCCGCTCATCTGGCAATGAGTGACTAAAATGTTTCACAGGATTAGTGCTCACAAACTAATTCCTAATATTCAAAGATCTCTTTAACACTGGAATTTCCATTCCAGAGACTGGTTTCATTAGAACTATTTTCACATAATAATACGTAATACTGTCATATTTGTTTTTCCTTTAGTGCTGGCGATTGAACCCAGGGCTGCATGGTAGACAAGCACTCTACCACTGAGATCTCTCTCCAATCCTACTCTCTATAAGTCACTAAGCTATATAACAAAAAAAAAGTATGTATGTACTCATTACCTTTCTCATGTAACTGTAACCCCTCTGTACTCTATTTTTACAATAAAAAACATAAAAAAGAAAAAAAAAGTGTGTGTCTGTGTATATATATATATATATGCGCGCCAACCAGAAGTAAAGTGGTTTTGAAAGTATCACCCTTCAAACCCTCTCATCATCTCACAAGTCACCATACTTTGACAATAGAACCCCAGAAAATAAGAAAGATTCGTTGTGCATGACCTTTGATTGTTTCTATTTTGTAGAAATCATTATTTAGAATATAAAACATTTTTATAAATGTGTGTAACTTTTGAATATACACTAGAACATCCACTATAATTTGAAAAGCTCAACAGTGAATAGCCTCTTTTGACATGCTGAATAGAAGTATATATAATAAGTACTTACAGGTTTTTGCTGTGGAGCCGTACTCACTAAAATAAAACAAAACAGATGCTTAGAGAAAAAATAAAGTTATAGGCAATCTGAATTCAAAATGAATTTTAATGGCTATCCAACTTCTACCGGGGTTTGAACTATATGCCTCCTAGTCTCACTTGGCTTTGTGTCTCATGACTGTTGTTCTACCACTTGAGCTATGGTCTCCACTTCCAGCTTTTTGATGTTTACTTGTAGATAATGGTCTTGAGGATTTGTCTGTTTGAACTGGCTTTGAACCTTCAGCCTCAGATCTCAGACTCCAGTGGAGTTAGGATTACAGGCTTTTTGTTTCTTCAGTCAGTACTTGGGCACTCTAGCACTTGAGCCATGACCTTAGCCAACTCTGCATATGCTGTTCTTGAGACAGGATTTCAATTTATTCTTGGGTTAGCCTTAATTGTAATCTTTCCATTTGTGCTTTCCTTCCCAGCTTCAATGACAGGTACTTGCCAGTGGACCCAGTGAGATGAGATGGGAGTCTCACAAACTACTTTTTGTCCAGGATGACCTTAAACCATGATCCTCTCATCTTTCCCTATAAGTAGCTAGAACTACAGGCTTGAGTCGCTGTACCTAGCACAAATGCTGATGAGCACAGCATAATCTTGTACATACTGAGCAATTTTTGAATATATGTATTTAAAGTTAGATACTAATATATTTCAAAAATAGTCATTTGCAAAGCTCCACCAACAGGGGAAGAGTGCAGAAATCATATAGTCAGTCTTCCAACCAAATTTGGTTTACTGAAAATGAAATAATAATTTAGATGAGAAGACAAACATCCACGTTTGAATCTATTTGGCAAGCTTTATACAAGTAAGCTAAATCAAACAATACAACAAATTGCAGCAATGATTCCAGACATTATATTAAAACCCCACCAGTGGGGCAAAGTTTGATATGGTAGACTGCTTCCATGATCTAAACAACTCCCTGATCATGGTAATGAGATAAAGAAATGAGGTATTTCTCTGCAGTCCCATTCAGTCAAAAGAGATTTAATCCATCAGTCTATAAGCTTGCATGACAATACTCCAGACCATAATGTGAAGAGCATAGGAATAAATCGTCAATCCTTCACTACCACAGCCTTTTCTGAATTTTCTGCAAAATTCAGAAGTAAAAGTGTAAATGCTAATATTCAAGCTACTTTATGTTTTCCACCAATTGAGGTCTTTCCTAACTAATTCTAAAGTACCAGTACTATATCACAGTCTAATATAGTTACATTAGCTGAGAAGGGAGGATTCTCAAAAACCTGAAGCTAGGAAAAAATCCTGAGAACTACAGATCTAAAAAAATTCTGTAAAAATGTGGGAAACAGAAGAAAATGCTCATATGTAGAAGAAGCTATGTAAGAATTTAGATAGGTTTTTTAATGAATAAAGTAAATTAAATATCGAAATATAATTGAGATCTCTTCTCAAGAAAAAATTCACAGCATCAAGCTCGTACCAAAAAAAAATTCTTAACAAGTATGCACATGTTGACTCAATTGCCTCCAATGTGCAACTCCAATGTTCAGTATCCCATTTGAAAGTTTACAATGTCCCAAGCATATGGATATGAAGGCTCAACTTCCTTACCTGCAGATCCAGAGGGAGGAGGAGCACCTGCTTTCTGCCACTCAGTGGCCTCAGCAGCCATTCTTCTCACATATGCATCATCCACACACATTAAGATGTTTTCCGGCTTTATGTCAGTATGAATGATCTTGCACTTACTGTGTAGATAATCTAAACCTTGAAGGACCTGGTCATAAGAAAATCAAGAGAGAGGAGGCACTGTTAATACCTTCATTATTTAACTTTTATTTGCCAAATAGGTAATATAATAATCACATGGTAAAAATTTGATAAGACATAAAAATGTATTTAGTAAAAATCTTCCTCCCTGCTCCCATATAGGAATCCAGCTTCCTTCCCCCAAAAAGCCAGTGTACCATCTAGAGATCACTCATGCTCATAGGAACAAATGTACATCTACTTGCAATTACTCAATAACTTTGCTGGAAAAGAATTCTCATTATCATATAGTCACACTTTTAGGTAGATATAGTTATGTTTTTAAAGATGTGCAATCATAAGTCCTATCTAATATACAACATTTTCATCACCCCCAATGGTCTCTTATAATTGGTCTCTTATAATGGTCTCTTATAATGCTCAAGACTTACTTTTATATACTATGTATCAGTATTTTATTTCCTTTTACTGCTGAATGAACTTAGGGCATTTTTTTTAATCCAGTCATTTCATAGTACATTTAGAATGTTTCCACTTTTGGCTTTTAAAGATACTCTATGTACATTCATACACAAGATTTTGTATGACCATGTATGTTTATTTTTCCAGTTATACAGTTAGAGGAAAATTGTCGGGTCATATTGCCAAACTGTTTTCCACAGTGGCTATAGTAATTTACACTCCTGCCAGCAATACATGCTTCTTCCAATTTCTTCATCCTGATCAACAATTTTTAATGATTTCAGTTACAGTAGTAGGTAAGAAGTCTTATCTCATTTTTGTTGTTGTCTTGTTGTTGGTAATTGGGGTCTTTGCTCTACTTTTTGGATAGGATCTCACTTCGTTGCTCAGGTTAGCCTGGGACACCAGGGCTCAATCATGCAAGCCTGCTGTGTTAGCCACACTTGTTTGTTTTAGTTTAGTTCAGACATTTATTTCACTACTGTATTATAATGTGCAGACATTTTTAATATTGCAGAAAAAGATTTACTGGAGTTTTTAAAAGGCCCAATATCTAGACAACACTATTCCATGAAATACTAAATCCAAATATTCACTATACCAAGAAATACTGAATCCAAATAAATAAAGCTGGGCACTAGTGGTTCACGCTTGTACTGCTAGCTATTTAGGGGCCTGAGATAAAAAGATCATGGATTGAAGCCAACGTGGGCAGAAAACCCTGTGAGACTTTATATCCAATGAACTACCAAAAAAAGCTGGAAGAGGAGTTGTGGCTAATGTGGTAGAGTACTAGCCTTGAGCAAAAAAAAAAAAAGATTAGGCACAGTGCCCAGGCCCTGAGTTCAAGCCTTAGTACTGGCACAAAAAATTAAAATTAAATTAAAAAATATTGAATAAACAAAGTATGTAAAAGCAGTAAGGCTCCAGATTTCTTAAAATAATGCCTATTACATTCAGATAGCTAATTTTCCTTAAGAAGCACTGATCACATGTCTGGAAATGAACATAGAAAGAAATTTATCACTAGGAAATATTAAGTAAGAAAAGAAAATCATGGGGCTGGGAAGATGGCTCAGTGGTATAGCGCTTGCCTTGCATGCCTGAGGCCCTGGGTTCGATTCCTCAGCACCACATAAGCAAAAAGAAAAAAGCCAGAAGTGGCGCTGTGGCTCAAGTGGTAAGAGTGCTAGCCTTGAGCTGAAGAGCTGAGGGACAGCGCCCAGGCCTAGAGTTCAGGCCCACGACCAGACCAAAAAAAGAAAAAAGAAAAGTAAATCATGGGGCTGGGAAGGTGGCTCAGTGGTAGAGTGCTTGCCTTGCATGCATGAGGCCCTGGGTTCGATTCCTCAGCACCATATACACAGAAAAAGCTGGAAGTGGGTGCTATGGCTCAATGGTAGAGGGCTAGCCTTGAGCTGAAGAGCTCAGAACAGTGCCCAGGCCCAGAGTTCAAGCTCTCCAACAAGAAAGAAAGAAAGAAAGAAAGAAAGAAAGAAAGAAAGAAAGAAAGAAAGAAAGAAAGAAAGAAAGAAAGAAAGAGAAGAAGGAAGGAAGGAAGGAAGGAAGGAAGGAAGGAAGGAAGGAAGGAAGGAAGGAAGGAAGGAAGGAAGGAAGGAAGGAAGGAAGGGAGAAGAAAATCATTACATGGATGTTGCACAGGGCACCATTAAAACTCAACTTGGAGCTGGGTGCCAGTGGTTCAACTTGTAATTCTACTACTTGGAAGCAGAGGTCTGGGGATGACTGTTTGAAGCCAGCCCAGACAGAAAACTCCTTAAGAGTTATCTCCAATTAACCACCAAAAAAGACCGAAGTGGAGATATGGCTCAAGTGGCAGAACACTAACCTTGAGCAAAAAAAAACAAACAAACAAACTCAGGGATAGTGCTCAGGCCCTGAGTTCAAGCCCCAGGACTAGTGCACAAACCCTCAACTTTGGAACAAGAATATTCGCTCTTCCCACTCTTACTAATATAATACTTAGAATTCCTAGCCAGTGCAATAAGGCAGGAGAAATAAAATGGATTCAAATAGAGAAGAAAGAAGTCAAATTATGCCTGTTTGCAAATGATATGATCCAATACTTAAAAGATCCTACAGACTCTACTCTAAAAAATCTTTAGATTTGACAAACTACTTTGGAAACATAGTAGGACATAAAATTAACACTCAAAAATCAGTAGCCTTTCTACACAGGAAAGCAATTCCATTTACAACAGCCTCAAAAACAAAATATAAGTATTAATTTAACCAATGAAGTAAAAGACATCTACAATGAAAACTGCAAAACAGTGAAGAAATTGAAGGAAGAAATCTTTAGAAGTCATTAAAAAATGCAAGACATCCCATTCTCATGAATTGGCAGAATCATTATTATGAAAATGGCCACAATGCCAAAAGCAATCTACACATTTAAGGCAATGACCACCAATGTACCAATATCATTCTTCACAGAAATAGAAAAGTCAGTCCAAAAGTTCATATAGAAGTATAAAGGAATCTGTATAGCAAAAGGAATTCTGAGTAAAAAGAACATCTCTAGAGGTATCACAAATTATACTAGAGTCATACTGACAAAATTAGCTTGGTACTGGCACAACAATCTCAAAGATCAATGGAACATCACAGAGGATTCAGAAATAAAAAGCATACAGTTACAGCCATCAAATTTTTGATGAAGGAGCCAAAAATATACACTGGAGAAAAGAGAGACTCTTTAATAAATGGTGGTAGGAAAACTAAAACTGGGCTCTTATCTTTCATTTTTCACAAAAATCAACTCTAAATGGATCAAAGAGCAAAGCAAAATGTGGAACTTTAAATCTACTATCAGAAAATACAGCAAAAACCTTGACATTATAGGCATAGGTACTTTCTGGTAAAGAATGGTAGAGAAACTAAGAATTGACAAATGGCATTAAATCAAATTAATCAGTTTCTGCACAGCAAAAGAAATTACCAAAAAGAAATGACCAAAACCAAGAGACAATCCACAGAATGTAGAAAATCTTTAGCAGCTATTCAAAAGATAAAGGATTAATATCCAGAATATACAAAGAGCTCAAAGTATTAAATGGCAAAAGAACAAATCAAATAAATAAACGGGCAAAAAACAATTGAACAGTTCTCACAAGAAGTATAAACTGTTAATAATTCATGAAAAAATAGTCAACATCTTTAGCCATAAGAGAAATACAAATCAAAATTACACTAAGATTCCACTCATGTCCATCAAGAAAACAAACAACAAATGCTGGACCTTTAGGAGGAAAAGGAACTCTCGTACATTGCTGGTGGGAATATAAACCAATGCAACCACAATGGAAATCAGTATGAAGGATTCTTAAACTAAAAATAGACCTACCTCACTGTCCCACCATACCACTACTGGGTATATATCTAAAGGAGAGTAAATCAATATATAAGAAAGATGCCTGCATAGCTATTCATAACAGTCAAATGGTGGAATCAGTCAAGGTGCCCAACAGATAAGTGGATAAAGACAACACAATATATATACATTGTAGAATACTGCAAAGCAAATAAAAAGGAAATTATCATCAGCAGGAAAATGAACTAGAATTGGAGAACTTAATCTTGAGATAATCCAAACTCAAAAAGCCAAATATCTTCTATTTTTGCTCATATGTAGGATCTAAACCTAAAAAATAAACATATCATGGGCATGTACATACATAAATATATATATATACAACAAATATACATATATACAGAAAGACATAGAGAACCTGATTCTAAATGTGTGACTATTTAGGAATATGAGGGGAAGAGAAGAGGAAGATAAAGAATTATAGACAATAATTAATTTTCAAATTAATTTTCAAATTTCAACTATGTATAAAGACAAGAAACTTAATGAAAGCTATTGATCAAGAGAAGATTGTGTGGGCAAGGAAAGAGGGTTATTCTGAACAAAATAACATTTGCACGTATAAATACTATAGTGAAACCCCTTGGTGCAATCAATACACACCAAAACAAAAATTAATTAGTTAAAAAATAAAGACAGGAAAGCAAAACAGGTTCTGTTAGGGTGGAGCAGGGCAGTGAGCACCAGCAGGATGGGACTGCATTAACAAGGAACGTGAAAGGCCTAACCTGGGGACTCCAGCTACTCTTAAATTGCTACTTAACTTTCATTTACTAGGCCAGGCAAAGCACTTAGATTCATTGAACTTCACTTTTCATTCCTGTAAGAGGGGGCAGGGGGATCTACTATGTAGTTAAGAATTCCAAATAACATGGAAAACTCATAAAAACAAGGTCTGGCACACTGGAAGGTCAAAACACAGGGTAGAACTGAAGGTATGCACTGAAGCAACTAGATAAGTATATAAAGTTCAGTAACAATACACCTCAGGTCAATGCTGATAGGCATCTTATAACTGTTTATGCAAAATAACTATAATGATGGAAAAATAAAAACAATAAAGTTTAATGCTAAGGATAAGATCTCCCTTTGCAAGACCTGACAGCATTAAAAAGAATCTTTGCTAGCCGGGCATCAGTGGCTCATGCCTG